AGCATCTGCCCATAACGTCGAAACCTGCCCCGCCGTACCAGCGGTAACAGTAACAGTCACTGCCGGTACTGTTACAGTCACGGCCACCAGGAGCGAATCTGCGAGCAAATCTGCCCTCGAAATCGCAAGCCATTTGCCAGTCCCTATGAAAAGCCATGGCGTACACTACTTCAACGCCACTGGCTCAACCGCCACCACAATACAATTCCCTACCACATCTGCGCCCTTCTCAACTGGTACTTCTTCCCCTCTTGTCGCAGGAGGTGCTCACAGTAACAATGGATGGAGCCTTGTAACTGAGTCTGGTAATGGTCAGTCGGCTGGTACGGGGTCTGGCTCAGGCTCCTCAGGCTCAAGTTCGGGGCATGCGGGATCTGGCAGTTCAAGCTCAGGTGCCTCAGGCCACCAAGGATCTGGCTCAGGGTCTGGCCCGTCAGGCTCAGGGTCGTCGGGCCACGGTTCTTCTGGACACGGAGGTTCTGGATATTGAGGTTCTGGCCACGGAGGCTCTCCAGGCAATGGAACATCTCATCATTCCATACACCTGTCTCCGGTCCACTCATCGAAATCTGTAGCTCCATCGTCAAGAACAGGAGCTCCTGGTTCAATCGTGCTGCCGTCAGGTACCGGACACTTGCACCCATCTCACCCAGCATCTGGAACAGGATATTCGCATTCAGGTTTGCCTTCTGGGACGGGACTGCAGCCCACATATCCATTCAGCACCGGTGGCTCGCACCCGTTTTCCCCTCTGGCACCGGATCAAACCCAACTGGAGTCATTCCCTCCGGGGTCTTCCCCATTAGGGTAATCCCTAGCGGTGTATTCCCAACTGGCGTGATTCCCAGTGAGGGTGTCTTTTCCACAGGAATTATCGCCAGCGGTGGTGTCTTCCCTACCGGATATTCGCACACGAAACACCATCACACGAAGCACCGTCACCACTCAAGCACCGAAGCTCCTGCAACCACCACTTCTGCAGTCTCTTCATGTGTCCCAGTCCCGGCCACAGAGCCAACATTCATTCTCCAGGCCGCAGGTGTGAGGCCTGTCGACGGGTCATACGTAAGGCTAGTCAACGATATGGACGAAACCGACGACATGGGGCAATATGTCACAGATTTGATGGCGGCATCAAAATTCTCTGTCAATACATTGAGCCAGCTGACCTCTATCGATGGTACTCAGGGTGGTGGTGGCCAGGTCGAAACTGCGAACGTCAGCCCCGTTAATAAAGGTCCTTTCTTGCTATTCAATACAGCGGCTCAGAACGACGCCGACCGCGTTTACTGATCTGTTCGTTTGTGCTCGGTTCTCTGACCTGCGTAACTGGGGATAATACTATCTTCTACACATGCGCTGGCTCAACTTCGGCTGCCGTCCAGGTCGGAGCTCCTGGTAGCGTTCCAGAAGGATGCTATCAATTGACGCTGAATGTTTTTGGGTGTCGACGGCGGGCCATTTGAGTCACCAGCACCAGCAGTGGATTGCATGGTATCATCAGTTGCCCCATCGATAACTCTCACCGCCACGCAAGCAGCGCCCGAGCCAACATTCTTTCTGGAAATCAGACTCCAGTCAAAGAAGACGCGACGCGCAGACAACACACCAGACACAACGGTTCAATATATCAACGTCGTAGCTGACGAATCCCTTGCATATGATGTACTCAAATTTGTCGACACTCAGGATGCAGTGACACCTCTTAGTCTCTCTGCTGAAGGCTACCTAGAAACTACCGCGGGCACCATCAGTGATTTGGAAATTGCAGGCTTAAAAGGTTCCGACGACGCCATCCGTCTCTACCCAGATGACACAGAGACGATCAACGACCTTGCGACATGTGCGATTACTGCTGGCGTCTTCTCTTGCGAAGACCAGGGCACTACTGGATTCTATGTTTGCTGTGATTTCGACCACCTATTCCTTGGGCCTTGTGCCTGTTTGCAGGGAGGCCTTGTGTTAGGCAGTCGTTATCATTGCTATCGCCGCTGATGGGGGATCTGGTACAACGCCGTCCACAACTGCATCAGGCATCTTCCCGACAAGGACTGGCAGCTATCCGTCTGGGACTGGTGTCTACGCAACAGGCTCAGGTTATTTCCCGTCAGGAACCGGCTCGCCGTCAGGCTCAGGATATTTCCCCACCCGACCCGCTTATCCAACTGGCACCGGCAACCCATCAAGCTATCCTTCCGGCACCGGCGGCTTCCCATCAGGCTCGGGCTACTGTCCCTCGGGTACAGGTCACCCCTCGGGCTCAGGATACTTCCCCCCAACCAACCCATCCGGAACCGGCTTCTACCCCCCATCGCCAACGTCGGGCGAAACAGGCGCACCTTACCACCCGCAAACGACTGCATCAGACACTGGGCCAAGGTACCCGCAAACCACGAGCGGTGGCAGTAACCCACAAACGACCGGCGGCAGCGGCGGCGGTAGTAGCCCATATAGTGGTTACAACCGAGTCCCGTCTGACATTCTCGCTATCTTCCCCACCGGCTACGCGGGGTATCATTGGGACAAGTATGGAAACATCGAGAATAGCGCTGTTTCCATTGCATCGGCGCCAACATTCTTGTTGACAATTGGTTCGCTTTTGGCCATTTTCTTCCTTGTATAGATGGGGAGTTTGAACCCTTGGCTGGTGTATATGTTGACATATGGGATGGATATGGGAGGTATTCTTGACTTAAAAATATACTTAATAAGTTTATGAATATGAGGAATGTCCTACGCAAACCCTGGCAAGCCACATTGCACATTTCTTGAGATACACAAATCCTTTGTAGAAAGGGGATACGTAGAGATCGTCCCATATGCCGATGCTCAAAGCAGACTACTTTAATCTGGGTATGAAAATACCGCCAGTCGAATTTTCAGGGTGTCACTTTACTCACAGTCAGAGTGAGATATATGCTATTTGTGAATCGTAAGGAGCGGAAACGTGGATCTGAACAGTGAAGAGGAACGTGCCAAAGTAGAAGTCGATGTACTAGCGCGATTCATTCCCAACCAATCACATCCCGCTTATCTACTCGATGACCTCGACATTATCCCGCAAAATCAGCCACCCTACAACACCCACACCAGTACCTCTCCTCCCTCCTCTACATCTCTTCAACAGCAATGATCACATCACGGGCCGCCGCTCCCAAGCCCCTCAGCGCTCTCTCCCATCATCTCCACCCCTCCGTCTCCGCCACCTCGCGGCTCAATGGAGTGCATACACCATCCCAACGACAACAACGGCGAGAGCTAGCCACCGTACAGGATGCACCGCCGCCGAAGCGGACCCATTTTGGGGGATTGAAGGATCAGGATCGGATATTTCAGAATCTGTATGGGCATCATGGGGCGGATTTGAAGAGTGCGATGAAGTATGGGGATTGGTATAAGACGAAGGAGATAATTCTTAAGGGTCATGATTGGGTTGGTCTCCAACTATCTTGGTTGTTAAATGTCTGGCTAACGGACTTGGCCAGCTCATCTCGGAAATCAAAGCGTCTGGCCTCAGAGGACGCGGTGGCGCTGGATTCCCTTCAGGCATGAAATGGGTACGCCTCCATCACACCCCACCAGACATACCAATGCTAACCAATACAGTCATTCATGAACTTCAAAGACTGGGACAAAGACACCAAACCCCGCTACCTCGTCGTAAACGCGGACGAAGGCGAACCCGGAACCTGCAAAGACCGAGAAATCATGCGTAAAGACCCCCACAAGCTTGTCGAAGGCTGTTTAGTCGCCGGCCGAGCTATGAACTGCAGCGCAGCATACATCTACATCCGAGGGGAATTCTATCATGAAGCTACCGTGCTCCAGCGAGCGATTCAGGAGGCTTATAAAGAGGGATTGATCGGAAAGAATGCTTGTGGTAGTGGATATGACTTTGATGTCTTCATCCACCGTGGGATGGGGGCTTATGTCTGCGGTGAAGAGACATCCCTTATCGAATCACTAGAAGGCAAACCAGGGAAACCTCGCCTAAAGCCCCCTTTCCCAGCATCAGTTGGTCTATTTGGATGTCCCTCCACCGTCGCCAATGTCGAAACAGTCGCCGTCGCTCCTACAATCATCCGTCGTGGCGCCAGCTGGTTCAATTCATTTGGTCGCGAACGCAATGCTGGAACTAAACTCTTCTGCATATCCGGTCACGTCAACAACCCCTGCACCGTCGAAGAAGAAATGTCCATTCCCCTCAAAGAACTCATCGAGAAGCACGCCGGTGGCGTACGAGGCGGGTGGGATAACTTGAAAGCAATTATTCCCGGTGGTTCATCAACGCCCATTCTCCCTAAGATGACCTGCGATGAACAATTGATGGATTTCGACGCACTCAAGGACAGTCAATCAGGCCTAGGCACCGCAGCAGTGATCGTGATGGATAAGAGCACGGATGTGGTGCGGGCTATATCGCGATTGGCGTCATTCTATAAGCATGAGAGCTGCGGACAGTGCACGCCGTGCAGAGAGGGCAGCAAGTGGACTGAGCAGATTATGAAGAGGTTCGAGAAGGGCCAAGCCAGGGCGAGGGAGATCGATATGTTGCAGGAGTTGACGAAGCAGGTTGAGGGACATACTATCTGCGGTAAGTCCTCGCTTATTTATGACTAAGATAACAGGTATGCTGATATCCCTTCTAGCTCTGGGCGAAGCGTTCGCATGGCCACTGCAAGGTCTCGTACGACATTTCAGACCTGAACTTGAGGCTAGGGTTAAAGGCTACGCGGAAGTGCATGGTGGTGAAGCTAGAGCAGGAGGCTGGGATCACGACGCCCAGAAGAAGGGCTTGCTTATCTCGCCTGGTCAATGATCCCATTCTCAAAGAGAGAAAGTGTTGTACATAGTATCGTAGCGTTCAGGAGTCGATGGGGATTCGTTAGAGATTCATTTAGGTACGGAGCATTCGGGAGTCTATATATTCTATTTCATCAATTCGCCCTTCCCATTTTCAAGCACAAGCCCAAGAGAAAAAAAAGAGAAAAAAAAAGGGCTGCCCAGACTCAGATTCGAAACTAAGGGTTTCAGGAACTGTCAAGCCCTGCAAAACGAGACGGCAGCATTTACCATCCCCTCCGATGCCCAGAACCAGCGGACACCTGACGTGCTGACCACTGCACTATCTGAACTCAGCCTGTTCGTTTCGTTGGTAGTTCCTTTTTCTGTATTTGATTGATTCGCTGGCAAGATTGATGGAAGACAAAGTGAATACTGCTCAGACTCAGATTCGAACTGAGATTTCCAGGGACGTTCGGTGAAGTATCAGCACTTCCGAGACGGAAGCAGACCAAAGCAGGTGGGAACCTGCCCCGATGCCCAAATGGGTATATACCTGACGTGCTGGCCATTACACTATCTGAGCTGCTGTTCTGAGATCATTTATGGCGATAATTTTTATTGCATTGGCAGGGAAAGGCACGTAAAACATTATTGAAAGAACAGACTTTTTGAAGACCTCACGGATCCAGCAGAGAAGCATGAAAACGAGCCACAGGTGACAGGCGGAGCAACCAGTGGGAGCATCATTGAGCAAGCAAGAGCAGACGCAGAGTAACGCAAATATACTGGAAGCAGAGGAAGAGCACTAGAGAGCGCAGCCTGAGCAGTGGGAGCAAAGCCAGATCGGTGAGGAGCAGAGCTGTGGGAGAGCAGTAAAGACAGGAGCAAGAGCAGTGGACGAGGAAAGCAGTAAGCAGCTGAGCAGTAGTAGCTGAGCGGGCGAATTGATTGGAGTCCTCTTTTAGAGGAAGAGGAACCACATTGAGTGCTAATTTGTCAGATATTCAAGGTTTTCGAGTTGCAAATTTGCGCGTTGAAGGGTAAAAGGCCAGACTTTGCGTCAAGTTAAGTTTTTGTAAAGCCGAGAAAGTGCAGTTTGTAGGTCTATTGGTGGACCGAATAGAGCAGCACAGGGGGTGATGGAATTGGAAATCATGTCGAATCATTGGTCTATGAGTCCATGTTAGTATATTAAAACCTTCTTCGGATGAACGACGCCAAACTTTTTGGGTCACTGAGAGCGCTGGGAGATCTCCTACCAGAACTTGACCTTGGGTGAGAGCCGTGGGAACGGTGAGCTCTCATACAAAATTTTGTGTGGGAGACAGTTATTGAGGCGTTGGGAGATTATATCTCCCACATAAATTATCGCTTGAGACGGTTGTTTGGGAGGGCTGAGAGCGTTGGGAGATTTTGCTGGGAGATCTCCCATACAAGATCTTGACCAGACTATTGACTGCGATTGGAGAGCTCCCATGTCAAGCTTTGTAGGGGAGATCTGATCTCCCGATATAAGCGAACAAATCTCCCATACACACTGTGGTGCGAAAGAGTCGCATAGGAGCTCTGTGGGTCTGTACAATAGAAGCTGTGGCAGCCGTGGACGAACTCGTGTACAAATATTTGATATGTCCAGTGGGAGCGGCCGAAGTTTTCTCGTATAAAACTTTGTACGGGAGAATTACATAGAAATGGTGAGAGATCAGATCTCCCATACAAAAAATTGCAGAGGAGGGTCTTATAGAAATCTCTATGGTCGTGCTGGGAGATCTCCCACAAAGCAGTTGAAGGGCCGACTGGAAGCGAAGAGTCCTCCAAGAAAATTTTGTATGGGATGTCCGTTCGCTAGCACTGGGAGATCAAATCTCTCATACAGAAATTTTGCATAGGGAAATGTGTAGGAGCTCTGTAAGCCATGTAATGCGAGCTATGTGACCATACAAAATCATGAAAGCTTAATGCCAGCGATTGGAGAGTTCTCCTGCATAACTTTGTATAAGATCCGCTCGCTAGGACTAAGAGATCACATCTCTTATACAAAGATTTGCACGATAGAGCGTTATAGGAGAGCTGTTAGAGAGCGCTGGGAGATCTCCCACAGAAGATTTTAGGTTGGAGCACCGGGGAGTCATCGCTCGTACAAATTTTGCATGGGAGAAGTGTAGAGGAGGGTTGAGAGATCAGGTTTCACGGATCGAACTTTGCATGGAGAAGATGTTCTGTGGAAGCAGTTCCCATACAAGCTTAGGCAGGAGCAGTGGAAGTCTCCCATACAGATCTCCTATACAAAATCAAATTCTCTCGTCCAGACAACAGCCAGAGGATATGAAGCCAATGATTGAATTTCGTCTACATTGAATGCTATCAAGGCCATGTATACTATGAACAACGTTATCTCTTCAAAACGTTTCAGAGGTTTGAGGATTTGATTCGTTCAGAATACTGTCGAGCTCCAACTACTCCATCAGGCAGATGTACTATCTCGTGTACTCTCCTAAAACGACCGTGACCATGCCGTTATATGTATTATCTTCTTGGAATTTAGCCTTGAAACTTGAAACTCGAAACAGTTCACGAGGAAATGGAATAGAGTAAATACAATCGGGAAAAGATTAGATGGGGTGTTCAACGTACCAAGCTAATAGTTCCATGTACAGCTTGCGAATGAACGGAATCCAAGCTAAATAATGTCAGATAGAATGCTCAATAGATCTACCTACGTCCAACATACGCCTTCGAACAAGGTCGATTTTCTAAGACTCTTTAAAGTACAATGAGTAACTTACAAATGTTCATTTCACAATACGTTGTTATTCGATAATTCATTTCGAACCGTGGAGTCACTTTTCATTAGAACATGTAGAAGTTGAGTGGTCATACACTCATATCGCTTTGGAGAGCCTTTATCGATCGGACAGACTACGTTTCAGAAGCATTCTGTAGCCCCGCTGTGCCATGCACCTCCTCCACGCTCTATTCAACTCCGAAACCTGCTGGGCTGGGCCCGATGTGAGGTACACGGGCCTCTGCGAAGAACAGTAGTTTCCAGTGCGTGTCATGCCAACTCAGCTGCCCAAATTCCACCCGGTGTACACGAGTCATGCCCAAAGTGCTCCGGTCCTCCGGCTGCATTTCCATGTAGCTGTCTTCGCCGTCGATCTTGTAGATATGGAAAACCCCTCTAGGTTTCGGAACCGTCATCGTGAAATGGCTGTCGGTTACGCCATAGCTTAGCATGTTACCCAGCGTCAGACTTGTTGGGTGGGAACAATAGGATCTAACGCACGTTCGAGCATTGACAAGGGGACCAGCGCAGCAGCTCCTTTGCAGGATCGAAGACGGGAACTTTAGGGTTGGAAGGCATGGCGTAATCGATTCGCTGGTGTCTGGATTCGAAATGAGAGAGCTCGATGAGGTTGGTCAGACAGTATAGTTGAGGTAGAGAAGGTCTTTAACTGTAGTTAACGTGGGAAACGTTGTCTTGAATGCCGCAATGATGGCTGTGCTACCATGTTCCATGATAGAATGACTACGTCATTGATTGGCAAAGCGATTCGTCACTTTGTTCTTGCTTCACTTCAAGCAAGCTGAGCCAAGTCCACGTACGCCAAAAGCTACCCTTGTCAAGGCAAAGCGGATCGTGGGGAAAGTCAAAGCTAGAGTAGGGTTCTCAGCGTTTCCCTGCATGATCAGTGTACTGTCAATATGCACTGCCAGTGCGTAATACGGTGTAGCATAGTGTGGCCTTCGCGTTGCGTTGGCTAGTGTATTGTCACCTGTATACCATATCCTTTGCACAGTCAGTGTGAACTTTATGCTTTAGGTATGTTTTGACCTATTGAGTCTTTTTTCGGCCCTACTTCAATCCTATGCTGGCCTTGTGCTGGCAGGGAAGGTTGAGCTCCTCGTGCATCAAGTCCACTATTGTAGAAACCTTTTCCAGGCAGCCAATTGTTGGTGCAGACAGAATCTTGAGATAGGGCTGAAATTTTGCCGCTCAATACGACACTGATAGTGGCACTAGCAGTGCAGTTCGCGCCTCGCACCATCCTCCTTCGAAGGTACACTGATCAACATGATGTGGTGTGACCCCACGCCGTCCCTTTCGCGCCATTGAGACCCCTGAGCCGGAGCCTTCAAAGATATACATTTAAGTTTGGCTGCTCTTCGAAATTTTTGCTGGCATCCAGATGGTTTGGGAGAATCATGATGAGACCGTGGTGCCCCCACGGAATGCATATGAACCTTCGCATATCTAAGGGTACACATTAATTCTCAGGGGAAGCCGAAGGATTACCTAAATCCTCGTTCAGGCCGATGACACTCTCCACAGCCCAAATTTCGTTCGTCCACGTCTCTGACGGACGTCTTTGCAACGGTACATTGTCCCGAGCAAATTATAGAATGATTTTTAGGTATAGATAGACAAGCTGGGCGAGCATATTCATCCTCGGGAGATGACATGTGTTTGGAGTGGTAGGAATTCGGCCGCAGGCGGTCTGACCATTCATCATGGACTACCAAATTATATATGGTTGTCCAAAGTGTTGCTATGAGCCATACTGCCTCGGAAACTCCATGTTTCATTGATCATGATGGCATATTTTGGGGGTTTTGATAGGCTAGACAAATTCTGGCAGACGATGACACAATTAGAGACTAGATTACGCCATTGCTCCACCTGGATGTAACCAATAGTACTCTCGGCATTTGTCGACCCTTTGTTGCATATTTGCAAGGTCAATACCGTGTGTATCAGCTAAGCGTTCCCTGAATTCTTGGGTCGTATTGAAACGGGCAGCTCTATTAAAGAGGTGGGCGTTTTGTCAGAGGAGGCAGAGGCTCGGCTTCTTTGCAATCCTCGTCATCGCACAAGAAGTATAACGTCGAGGCATATCGCTCCCATTGCAAAATACTGCGGGTGCGGAGACGCCGTCTCTCAACCGGTATTCTGGCACAATCATCGAGTTGCCTTTCTACCTCAGGTTGCTCCAGATACTCTGCGACGGCCAATAGAATCTTTCTAAGCGCCTTCATACCCGAACCTGGAAGTTCTTGAGTCCAAAACGTGCACTTGTAGGTCTTCATTCGTCCATGACGACAGCACCTAGGTCTCAGCCGCCTTCGAATCGGAATTAAGGAAAGGCCACTTCGTTGTTATGATTTGCATGCTGGAGCATACTTTGATGGGTCAACGTAGTCAGTGTTGGCCTCTGTGTTGCAGCCTTGAAATTGGCAAGAGAGTCACGGAAGTTCTCTTTCTTTGTGAACAACTTGAAACGTGACTCGCCGGTACTGATGCTCACAAATGGTCCTATGTTTTGCGTAGGCCCCCATGAGTTGCAATGATATCGTGATATGCCTCCTCGCTGGGGTTGTTGGAACCGAAACCACCATCTTTGAATCTGATTCGTTTCTGTTGCTTTTAACCGCTTGGGAGGAGGCATGATCTTAATAGAGGAAAAGTTACCAGGTGCCGCTGAGAGCAACTTCCACAGTTGACAATGGCCTTGGATACAATCTTGAATCTTCGCTGAACAGCGCTTCTAGGCTAGCTTTATGCTCTTCGATCGCATCTGGTTT